TTCATTATATAATAAATGAAAAACCCCAGTAGTCATTAAATACCACCAAAAGAAAGCTCTCTTAAAAAAAAATGGTATAAAGTTAATTTCAGTACAGCGTTGCATGACGGAATAAACATCAGTCAAAGTACTGCAGCGCTGAATACTGAAAAATGGCCTGGACAGAAGGGGGTGTAAACACCTGAGGGGGAATTTATCAAAACCTGGAGCGGACAAAATCTGGAGCAGCTTCTCTCTCTCATTTTCAAATCTTAACTGAACAAACTGAATAGAAAAGCTGATTGGTTGCCATGCACATCTGCTCCAGTTTCTGTCTGCTCCAGTTTTGATAAATTCCCCTCTTGGTCTTTAAGTGGTTAACTAGACACTTTAACAGTGTAAAGGTGCCCATACAATGTGCGATTATCGCACGATAATCGCGGGAAATCCCGCGATCGTACGATAATCGCAAAGTGTTTTTACTGTACGGTCGCACGTCTTTTGTCTAGGGAGCACGCTAGAAAACCAGCCGAAAATCGTACGATTTTCGGCTGGTTTGAACGGTGCTCGGGAGACAAATGCCGAACGGGGCGGTGTGCGCGCACACTGCTCGTTCAGCATTGCGGTCATCGGAAGCCCGCCCCTCAGGGGGGCGGGCTTGCGATGATCGAGAGTACGATCTGCCTGTCCAAGATGGGCAGATCGTACGTTTTTATAATTACTTTACAACCATCGCAAGACTAAGGTCTTGTGATGGTTGTAAAGTGTATGGCACCTTTAGGCATTAGCCAGATTCCTTGAGCCCTTCTGGGGCTGAACACCCAACCAATCAGTAACCAGTCAGTTTCTGTAGCTGTCTAAAAAACGTATAAATATTTATAAATATTTTTGAGCTAGCTGTCTTATTTGAATATAACACCATCTATATAACACCATATAACACCACGTCATTTTAATGGGGACACTGACATGGTTACTTATAAATATGACTTTACTGATTTTACTGCAGGGTCCTGCATACATAGATTTGTTTTTTGTACAAAATTGAGTTAGTCACACATATATACAGAATATTATACCAAAGATTACAGACATAGATACAGAATATTGTAGGGCAAAACCTAAAAGGTATTTCCATCATTAAGCTGTATTTAACACAGCAGTGCACGGGCAGTGATATGCAGTAATCAATAGTGACCATCAGGATTTTATCTTTCATCCATAAATATCAGTCAGATGACTGGAATTGCTGATTGGGTGTTATGGGTTACTGCTCTTAGCAAGGTTTTCCACAATATCACATATCCAGGGAACAGCAAGCTCCTTTTGAACTTATTAAACTGAATAACAACCATGTTAATGAACTGATGGGGAGTCAAACGCAGGTCTACACAGAGATGCTGATGGCAATAATAAACTTTATCATATCTGAAAGAACACATTCATACACAGCAAGACATACATACCAAGATAACAGATAATATAATTAGATATTTATGTATGCTCCTGTTAGAGCTTGCACCAAAACTCTTGATATAACAGCTGGTTTGAGGTAGATTGAGTTGAATTTGACATTGCGCAGGTGGAACTCTCTTGGAAAATGTAAACAGTAAGTTTGAAATCGCTTGACTAGACATCAGAAATCCAGGCCAAGCGATCTAGGAATACTTCAATGTGAGATTGTGAATGAGAATGCACTTGCATGCATGCCTGAAGATTGATCAAAGATTATATGTATTCTGGAGATAATAATGTATAAGAAGGATTTCAAGAAACTGTCTCAGTCATCTTTGATCTTTTCATTGTGGGTGTCAAATGTCTAAACTTCTGCTTTATGCTAAATAACTAGAGAATGGTTTGATCCATCAAACCACTGATAACAATATGCTGTATATTCGGTAAGTGTTCACTAAATCTAGTATGGATGCACCAATATTAGTATCGGTATTGATACAGAGTATTTGGACGAGTACTCATACTTGCCCAAATGCTCTGATACTTGCCCCTGATACCGGAACTACTGGTCAGAGGAAGATATCCTCTGACTGGCAGTGCCGTGAGGGAACATGCAGTCGGCTTCGCGGCCAATGCGGATGTCGGCGGCGGGTAATGACCGGCTTCCTGACTGTTTGGCCAGCTTGATGCTGATTGGCTGGGAAGACGTCTTCCGGGCCAATTAGCATCGAGGTGGCCAAACAGTATGGAGTCGGCTTCCTTAGTGGCCGGCAAAGCCGGCTCCATGCTAGTGGAAGTACTGGTATTGGTACTCGGTATCGGCGAGTACTAAGAGATAAATATTGGTACTCGTACTCTATATTGAAAAACCGGTATCGGTACATCCCTAATATCTAGTATACAGTATACTATCTATTTAGTTAACATTTCCATTCCCCATGCATATCAGCATAGTGGTGTATTCATAACTCCTTATATCCGCTTTTTTAAGTGCACTCACTTTCTACAAAATGTGCAACCTAAGCAGACTAACAGCACCATTACTGATATGCAGATTTCAACTTTAATCCATTTCCAAGACACTACATATGCCGCACATTCATGGTAAGCTGGTACGTATTAAAATATTTAAAGATAACCTTATTTACATAAGAATATACTGTATATGTAAAATAAAGTTATTTTTGAATGTTATGATGTAGTTGTGTGGTACCATAAAGTCCAACATATGTAGTGTGGTGGGAATGGATTCATTTAATCAGATTAGTACCTGAACCCACGATAAAACTTACTGATCGATTAAAAAATATAACGTTAATAAAAGTTATAGCCACATTTTTATCTCCATCTCAAACCACTCCTTTTATCTGTTGCTGTATGCAGACAGTTTGATACTTAGCTGTAACAGTAAGGGCAAAGATGTATTTGATGTGTAGGCTGTAAATGACAGCCTGGTTTCACCTTCTCTATGCTGAGTGAGAGAAAAGATGGAAGCGCTCAATAAGGGAATTATTGGGTCTCTGGGACAGAGTTTAGGAGAGTTTATGTTTACTAATTATGCAGTGGTGAGGTGTTTGTAACCCAAATAGTTCATATTTGGCAGCAGGTTTGCGAGCATTGGCAAAGGAAAGTGTTGCCTTAGGCTCCATTCACACAGGAACGGTTGTCCACGCAAATTTGGCCGGGAAACACAAATGCTATATGTGAATGGAGCCTTAAGGGCTCGTTCACACCAAACTCAAAAGGAAACTGCAAGTCATCGGAGGGTCTGTTGACTTGCAATTTCAACCTCCGTCGACTTCCATTCTGTTCCGTTGTGTGTTTTAATTTATTTTTTCTCTTTTTTTTTTACCAATCTTTTTTTTAAATTAACTTGTCCTGCGTGGACAAACATCGATATATTTTACATAGATCGCAGCGCTGTAAACTGGTCTCATTCACCCATACATTTTATGGTGCCCCTGCTTTAGCATCTGTTGAAAAACAGATCGCAACGCAACAGATCTAGTGGGCATGGTGCCTGAAATTCCACATTCCGGATTCATAAATAAAGAATAGCCACTTTCCTCGTGCTCTGTACAACCCTTTCTGCAGGGTTTTTTGTTTGGCCTTTTAATTAAACTTTAAAAGTGCCATGAAGTGGTGGCCGCATGACTGCTCCTGTCCTTCCACTCTCTGATTCAGTGCTGGCCTATGGATGGAGAACAACACATAGCTGTGATGTGTCAATAGGACTACAGGAGGTGTGGCAATGACTTCCTGTGCCAGAGGAAGTGCTTGGATGACACTGGGAGTCATGCAAACCAGTAAGTGATGTAGCATCCAGGGAACAAAAGACAAACATCGCTGTGAAAGGTTTTTTATACAATGTTACTATGTACACAATGCAAGATCATTCATATTAAAGGAGTATTATGAGGTGAGTGAAAATCACTCAGCCTCATAATCTGAGCCGACCTGTGACAATGAAACTGTCACAGGTCGGCTCAGTAGATCGGGAAGTGAGTGAACACATACCGGCGCTCGCTCACTTCTCGATCCTGTCCCGGCAGGGAGCCCATGACAGGGGAGGGACTGGATTCTCCCCTCCCCTGTCCGATCCTCCAGCTCTGACTGGCGGAACGGACGGGGGAGGGGGCGGGTACAGCTGGCTCTGCCTCTAGGTAGGCAGAGCCAGCTGTCACTCACGCAGCTGGGTGGATCCAGGCATAATTGTCGGTATCCATTCTGGCTGCGGCGTCTCAGTATACCGCGAGCTGTAGCTCGTGGTATACAGAGCTTTGGGTGACGGGAGGACGCTAGTTTGTGTCCTCCCGTTACCCTTAGGAGAACTATGGGGAAAAGCCCTAACCCCATAGTTCTCCTTTAAACTAAACCAAATATGATTACCATATACAATAAGTTTCTTATTGTACAAACTATTCACTCTTAGAAAGAACATTGCGTAGGATTGTTAGTTGACAACAATGTGATTTTACTGAATCAAACGAGTCCAGCCTGTCTGTGTATTTTATATTTGTGATCGCACAGTATAGAATTTATATTTTAACAAACTGCAATTGATTTTCCGAATTACATAATCATATTGTAAATTGTGTAGATAACTGAAACTAGACGTAAAGAGGGTGATTAAATGTTAGCTAACAATTCCAATGGAATACATTCTTTTTTTATCCCAAAATACTCTACCTCCATGCCTCTTTTGTGTCGGGGAACAATAGGCTACCGGCTGAATTCTCCTAGCCTGATGGTATCCTTTTTTCTTGCTGATGCAATGCCGAGGGTGTATGTGGAAGTAATTGGTGCTCCACAGACACCACAATTGTGTTTGTGTCCTGGCAAATTTACATGTATCTACAGTAAGCCTTAAGCAGCAGGCCAAATTATAATAATATTATGGATGAAGAACAGTACAAATGTTGGATGGGACATTCAATTAAGCTACCAGAGACAGATTGACAGAGCAATGTGGGAAACATGCGCACTAGTAAAGTTCTAAGATGACGATGGCATGTAAGTGAGCTTCTAGATATATATTGAGTCTATGCAAATTTTTTTCAGTGTACCTTGGTCTGGGGGAGTCCACATCCTCCGCTGCTGCTGGTCACAGGCGGTCGCTGCTCAGAATTTTGTGGATCAATTTCTGTTATTTCCGTCATGTTGTCCAGAGGGTTCAGCAAACAGTTCGGTGATGTCAAAACAGCTCTTGGGCTTAATGATTAAATTAAATGTGCTACTATTGCCTACAGACGTAGTTGATACTGTGCAGATGGTTACTATATGGAAGTGCAGTGTCACCTGCCGTGGTATTCAGTGCGTTGCTCTCATTCCTCTTGACTTGTCGTGGGTTTGTTCTGGCACTGGGTCTTTAGTAGAAGCAGTAGAAGCGTGCTCTGGGGATGTCCTGTTATGCTGGGGGACAATTGAGGAGCTCTTTCTCCCTGACAAAAAGGACCCTTTTAGTTTCTCAGACTCTTGTCTCCGCTGTATACCTGATGAAATTCTTTAGCTCTCTATTTGCCTTCCAACAGTTTTCTTGAGAGACTGCTGCACCCTGGTGTTCCTGTCCCACGCTTTGAATTGCAGTACCTGACCTGATGGACAGCGGAAGCCTGTATTAATCTCAGTGCTGTGCCTCTTTAGATTGTGCCAGTCCTGCCTAATGTCAGCACTCTAGCTGTGTATCTCCTCTGTGTGTGATTACACAGTGGTCTGGAATAGCTGCAGTCTGTCTTATAGGCAGAGCCAGCTGTCACTCACGCAGCTGGGTGGATCCAGGCATAATTGTCGGTATCCATTCTGGCTGCGGCGTCTCAGTATACCGCGAGCTGTAGCTCGTGGTATACAGAGCTTTGGGTGACGGGAGGACGCTAGTTTGTGTCCTCCCGTTACCCTTAGGAGAACTATGGGGAAAAGCCCTAACCCCATAGTTCTCCTTTAAACTAAACCAAATATGATTACCATATACAATAAGTTTCTTATTGTACAAACTATTCACTCTTAGAAAGAACATTGCGTAGGATTGTTAGTTGACAACAATGTGATTTTACTGAATCAAACGAGTCCAGCCTGTCTGTGTATTTTATATTTGTGATCGCACAGTATAGAATTTATATTTTAACAAACTGCAATTGATTTTCCGAATTACATAATCATATTGTAAATTGTGTAGATAACTGAAACTAGACGTAAAGAGGGTGATTAAATGTTAGCTAACAATTCCAATGGAATACATTCTTTTTTTATCCCAAAATACTCTACCTCCATGCCTCTTTTGTGTCGGGGAACAATAGGCTACCGGCTGAATTCTCCTAGCCTGATGGTATCCTTTTTTCTTGCTGATGCAATGCCGAGGGTGTATGTGGAAGTAATTGGTGCTCCACAGACACCACAATTGTGTTTGTGTCCTGGCAAATTTACATGTATCTACAGTAAGCCTTAAGCAGCAGGCCAAATTATAATAATATTATGGATGAAGAACAGTACAAATGTTGGATGGGACATTCAATTAAGCTACCAGAGACAGATTGACAGAGCAATGTGGGAAACATGCGCACTAGTAAAGTTCTAAGATGACGATGGCATGTAAGTGAGCTTCTAGATATATATTGAGTCTATGCAAATTTTTTTCAGTGTACCTTGGTCTGGGGGAGTCCACATCCTCCGCTGCTGCTGGTCACAGGCGGTCGCTGCTCAGAATTTTGTGGATCAATTTCTGTTATTTCCGTCATGTTGTCCAGAGGGTTCAGCAAACAGTTCGGTGATGTCAAAACAGCTCTTGGGCTTAATGATTAAATTAAATGTGCTACTATTGCCTACAGACGTAGTTGATACTGTGCAGATGGTTACTATATGGAAGTGCAGTGTCACCTGCCGTGGTATTCAGTGCGTTGCTCTCATTCCTCTTGACTTGTCGTGGGTTTGTTCTGGCACTGGGTCTTTAGTAGAAGCAGTAGAAGCGTGCTCTGGGGATGTCCTGTTATGCTGGGGGACAATTGAGGAGCTCTTTCTCCCTGACAAAAAGGACCCTTTTAGTTTCTCAGACTCTTGTCTCCGCTGTATACCTGATGAAATTCTTTAGCTCTCTATTTGCCTTCCAACAGTTTTCTTGAGAGACTGCTGCACCCTGGTGTTCCTGTCCCACGCTTTGAATTGCAGTACCTGACCTGATGGACAGCGGAAGCCTGTATTAATCTCAGTGCTGTGCCTCTTTAGATTGTGCCAGTCCTGCCTAATGTCAGCACTCTAGCTGTGTATCTCCTCTGTGTGTGATTACACAGTGGTCTGGAATAGCTGCAGTCTGTCTTCTAATCCCCAGAACTGTCTTCGGTTCTACTCTTTATTTTTCCTCCACTGCAATCTCTCCCTCCCATCCCTACTCTCCCCCCACCCTCTCTGCTGCAGACTCTGTATCTCTCCTCTGCCCTCACTGCTGCAGTCTGTCTATCCTGTTCTCTGTCCCTGAAGCTGATCCCTCTATCTTTTTTTTTACCCACTTCCCTACCGTCTCTGTTAATATAGTGATGAAATTCCCTTTTCTGCACACTATTGCAATTTCCTTCTCTGACTGTCACTCTGTGTTTGTCACTCTCTGCCACTCAGTTTATTCTTTGTGTCCCTGATTTATTCTTTACCCCTCTCCCCCTCCTTGTGTCTTTTGTATTATCTCTCTAATCCTGTCTTCTCCTACATTTCAATCGCTCACAGCCTCATTGTCTGTTCCCAACCAGCCCCCACCACCACCACCACCTATCCTTGCTCCTAGGCTCCTAGCGCTTGTCCTCCATATACCCCACCCATAACATCCTTCCTCTGCCTTTCATATGCTAATTTCACCACCACACCTTTCATTGTGATTGGCTCCAAAATGAGGGAAGGGTTTAGTGTCAGTGCAATGTGTGTCATTATGAATATTTCTATGGGGCAAGTTTCCCTTGGCGGAATAAAGTGTTACAGAAATACAGCAGAGTCTCAGTACTGTAACCATTCATCATATGCCATTTGCTGCAGAGCCGTGTTCTGTCAGGAATTTCTGATATATGGCCACAATCCTGGTCTTGATTGTACAAAATGTTACCCTTTTTTCCTCATATTATGGGAGGACAAGTAAATATTACACTTTTTTAAATGATGGATATAAATAAAAATAAATCCCCCCCCGTTACCTTTTCTGCTGGGGTATGCAGAAATAACATACTCACACGCCAGTGATCCAGTGTTGTTCTGTAGAGAAACACCACTACACAGCCCATTCTGCACCGCCATCTTCTTCTCTGATGTCATCAGGGGGCCAGCTGTTGGTTCCTTTTTTTGCAGCCAGCCACCTGATGATGTGCATGCTCTGTGGCATCAGTGTAAAGCATGCACTGTAAAGTACTACTGCTGTAAAGTACTTTGAGACCTCCTGGGATGCGTGGCATGGGTATCCCAGGGGGCAGGCCCTGACTGGTCATTGGGCATACTGAGCACTGAGAACCCAAGCCAGGCTGGACCTTTCACGGGTCACCCCGTCCCTCGCACGCAGCCCACCACGACCTCACCACCTGCATGCAGGGAGAAAGGCTCCCAGCTCACCACCATCCCATGCCCCGGCGCCAGCATGGCCGCCACTCCACAGCCCATACATGCTGGGCACCAGGCAATCTAGTCCCCCTGCTGTGTCTGCATGTGGATTCATTGCATGCAGGCCAGCCTGTTACCACACTTTTTTCAGCGGATACTTTGCAGCCCCGTTTCCTACGCTGCACGCCTCTGCTGGGAACAAAGGCCACGCTCTAAGCTGCATCCAAGCCAGAATGGAGAGGAGCTTTTTGCCCAGTATCAGGATCGTGCCTCAGCTCATGGGTTAAATACCTGAGATGAAGCTATCTATAGTCCCTTTGCCCAGTTAGTCTGCTTGCCTGGGTCCTCGGCTGTGGCCAGTTCATGCAGGACACCCAGATCCGTCTTGCTCACAATCCTGCTCGTCTGCTGAAGAGGCTCCGCAGACCACCTCCTGGACCACCTCCTGGCTTACCATCTCCTGCGGACCCCTCTCCTGTAGCGGAGTGACTGGGCGCCCCAAGTGTGAGTTGTAACCCTATCCTTGCTGTACCTTCTTGGGGCCACCCAGCTTGACAAAAGTCTGTTTCAAACTATTAGATGTAGTCACTGTTCAAATATTTAGGCAGCAGCAGCAGGTGCCTGCTGTCTGAATACAATAGCCAGCAGGAGAGGTTACTCCCCCCATGTTTTTTTGCATGGATGGGGAAATCAAGTGATTGATTTCTCTTGTTCAGCCAGCATAGCGGAATTAGTAAAATCTACACTTGTATAGGTATCTTTAGTTTCATTATGCAAGCACAGGGTTTTGAAGTATCTGCTTTATCTGAAAATGCCAAAGACTACAAGTATAATTTTGGAAGTTTTACATTGTACATACTGTAGTAGAAGTGTTTAAAATCCTGCAAAAGCATAAAGAAACAAAGCAGATATTAAATAATGTGTTTAAAGTTTAATGTGTTACTGCTTTCCTGAATTTTAGTCAAGAAGCTACAAGTGAAACCAGTTTTGCATACATATTTATGAAAATCATACTGTTGGGATAAAGAGTTTGTGAACTTTTGGGAATTTTGGGGATTTATGGTAATTGAAGTAATTGTTGGCAAAAGGATGTGAACCTTTATATTACTAGAATACAACAATAGGCTGCAGCTCCTAGGAAATGACAGCTCTGAACCGAGGTCATTTACTTTGCTTTTGGGGTCAGTCACAGGAGGGGGAAATCAATAAATGGATGTTCCCTGGACTCCCTCCACTCCACCTGCCAATACCAGCCATGCCTGCCCCGGCCCCAGTCACTCCCCTGTCATGGCTCTCTGCAGTGACAGGATCGAGAAGTGAGCGAACGCCGGTATGCTCAGACGGTCGGCTCAGATTATGAGGCTGAGTGAAAAGCACTCACCTCATAGTTCTCCTTTAAGAAAAAATTGTAGAGTCCCTCTAATAGTTCATAAAATACATTTACCCTAGCAGGCAGCCTGTTGACTACACCAGGTCACATGTGCTCAACTTGGGGAGGGTACCTTCCAAGTGGGGAGCCACACAGCCCCCCGCTATGCAAGGCACTTTTCCCCAATGTTGATTGGGACATGGGCCTCATCCCCACATCCAGTGCCCGAAGAGGATGTGGGGATCTGCAAGGGAGGACTTATCGAAATTTGGAAACCC